AAAAATCCGCCCGATAAAAATATACGGCACTTCAAAGCGTGCATATTTATACAATTAGTCTTTTTCCAAATAATTTTCCCTACGCTTTATAAACGCACATTGACGTAAAAACCGCATTTATTTAGGTATTCTATTTATGGAAATTAGACACATATTGAATTAGCTATACCAATTTCAATTATTGTAGGTATTGAATTGTATTGATTTGTCCGATAAAATAATATAAATAAACATGCTATAAATCTGTCATAATTTATCTGCGACTGAAACCCGATCACCGGCCAACGTTGATTTAAATTAGAACGATATGCTAATATAATTCGGAAAGTTGCAAGAGATTGCCTTTTACCGCCACCTTATTGTTGCGAAACTGTTATGTATGTTTTCCAGAAAACATAGACTCGGTCTCTTTGCGCATAAATTATAAACGTGGGAGAAATCTGTAGGTAAATAATTTAATGTCAATGTCAGCCTACCGGCAATATCACTTAATTCGTAACGTCTGGGAGAGTATGTGACGGCATTTCTTAAAATAATGTCTTATCACATTTTACTGTTTTTGGGCGAGATCTAGGCTAAGGTATGTTCACAATATTACTATGTAAACGAGAATTTATTTGTTAATATCAAAAATACTCTTAGTCTTGTTGCACCACATGATTTGAGTTGGATGAATATGTTAAAAAAATTAAATAATGCATTGATAATAGTTGATGATGAAAGAAAATGCAGACGCATAAGGTAAGAGGGCCTTAAGCTAGGGATACGTAAGAACTTGTCGATCAACAGCCAGATCGAATTAACTTTTTAAGGTAATTCGATTTAGCTGTGGATTATTGTTTGACAATACTGTGTGAAGATTTCTCGACGAGTTTTTTCTTCTATTGTGGACCGAAAAACTCGAATTCTTCGAATACATGTCGACTGCTTATGAGAAAATTCATGAAACAGAATACTCCCAAAAATACAACGTTGGATGAATCGTCCAGTTCAGGAAACCGTAGATCACATACAGACCTACTTTTCCGCGTTAAATTTGATGGAATAATTCGCAAAAAAAGCCGTCTTATCGCCGACGACGGTGTGACATATTCAACGTTCGCGCGAATTGTTCACTTCCTACAATTTGTCATTAAGAACTTAGAAACCAACGGTCTAATGAGATGGCTCGTAAATGTGGAGAGAATGCGTGTCCGTTTCGTCTCCGAAAAGGAAATGACCAATTGCGGAGTTCGGATAAACGTAATCGTGGGCGCGATATCGCGCTTAACGCGTGCCGCATTTAAAAGAAAAATTTAAATGTCCCCTCGCGGTGGACCGCGAAAGGAGCCAGCGGCACGTTAAAATTTTAAGATGAAATATTAAACGAGCCGATCCGGATGAAACAAAAGCCGTATTTTATATTCCAACTACGATACGTGGGTCGATTAAAAAATATCGTGAGAACTGAAAAATAGCGATGTTGAATATTTAATTTATCAATGCTAAAAATAATTTCACTTACTTTATGCGGTATTTATTATAGCCTGATTAAGTAGTTCATTAATTTTCATAAAAAATATGATCCTACTATTTACCAAAAACTACTTCTATTATAAAAAAACTGGCAAGGTGAATAAATTTAATTTGACACATTAATCTGATCAGTATAAGTTTTTTTTAAATCTTTCAGTACATTAGTAATAATATTAATAATATTGAAAAAATATGATTTCCATAAGTGTCAATGACCGCTGTTTGAAATTAGGTAGGCTCTTTCTGGGATATTTTTTCTAAATTTTACCATTACCTCGGCATGTATACCGTTGTATAAATTTAATATTTGTCCGAATGTAATATTGTAGGTGTTACATACCTATAATTTATTCAACTGGTAAATTATGCACAAGCAACTAATGTATTATTTAAATACGATTCGCAACAGATAAAATCGAGCAAAATTAGTTTCGTTAACTAGTTAACTGTTATTCCATTGGACACAATGAAATTCAATCAATAAAGTATTTTACCGAATCCGAAACGTTTCTATTCTTCCATCTTAAACAAAAACAGTAGGTATAATTAGTCTGTGCACGGTGTGTTTGCGGTTTTGTCTAAGCAAATATCAAATTTTTTTTAAAAACTGCTGTGGAAAGACATGAAATAGCGTATAATTTATTAGTCGAATTGCAAAATACTGAAAAAGATGAATGTTATTACGAGTACATACGCTAAGCAAGAACTATTTGTTTCGTGAAAACGACAAACAGTTGTTGGGAAAATTGCATAAGGTAAATTATTGTTTTAAAAGATAATGGGAGGTAAATCCATGTTTTTACTAATAATTGCAACATGCATGAATCGGACCAATTCGATGATACGATTAAACGAAGTAGAACAGAATACCCTGCACCCCTTCTTTAAAAATTGTTTTACATACAACCGTATGCAAGGCAAACGTGGAGTCGAGAAGCGCCCAAACGCGACTCCCCGTCATCATTATTATTCACCGCCCTTTTAAATTATTCAATCTATTAATTATAGTCCGTCCTCGTGTTTAACTGTATCTTCAATAGGTATAGTAATTGTGTTTTAGTGCTGCTACGTTGCGTTTATTCACGTGCGGTTAATACCCTAACGAGCCTGTCAAAATTTGTTTGAAGAAGCATTACTTAAAGCATCGATTTTGATATCGGTTAATTGATTCACCTTGTATTGTTACTTCGAATAAAATTCGATTAAGGAAATCGTCTACATACCTGTTCGTACCGAAATAAAAACGTAGAATATTTTCTCTTATTACCGACGTGAGAATAGTTTAAATACCGAACAATGCTTATTTTCTCACTGTGAGAACATCTTCATATCTGATTGAGTAAATCATTCAAAGTCATTTATTTTTTTTAAATGAAATATTTATATTTCCGGAACGAGATCAACTCATATCTTATTCGATAATTTTTAATTTCTTTATTTCCTTATATCACTAAAGAATAAATGGTAATGATGGCAAATGAAAAGCCAGAAATATATTTCTATTCTAAAAGGACATAAAAATGATAATTTTCTGTCGCCGCCGGTCCGCTTGCAAAACAAACTACGTAATATCCTTATATTTTTCTAGGTATGTAATTACATTTCGTTTACAAAGAAAAACTGACTTTTAATAAAAGAGCTACGATTATTCCAAACCTCTATTTGCCTTTCACAAGGTAATATTTGACGTGCATATAAAGAGATAAAAGGGATAAAATCATTCTATCGCCAATGAAAATGTCACCATTACTACGAGTATACAGCAATACTACAATATTAATGGAATAAATAAATCACATTTTCCAATTTCTTATTTCAATTGTTAGTTTCGAATAAAAAGCGAATTTCCATCGACCATAACTCCGGTACACGCCCCATAGATCTAATAAAAGATGCATTTCCCATTTCCCCTCGTTGCTTTTTCGTTTTGGCTAGATTGGCGAAAGATTATAGGCAGATAGTGGATCGAAATTTTAAGCACTAATTACCCATCGCCCTACGAATGTGCAATGTTTAACTAAGCGTTAAAAGTCACGATTGCCATCGAAATTTGGACCAGAAAAGGAATTTTCGGCGGAATCGGTCGTATAATTAATTGGGTCATTATCCCGTACAGAGTACGAAAAAAGCTGGACAGCGTACAGGTCCGTAACCGCAATATATTTCAAACTAAAATTATTCGTAATTTCTTGCCGATACGAAAAAACTGTTTATATTGAAGCAGTTTATGATACTGCTTATTGAAGATTATTAATTTGTCATACTGAGTGTAAAATAAAATTTAGAAAAATATGAATGAATTATTTGGTAAGGGCCGACCCTGGTTGCACTTATAGAATTCGCGAAGCGCGGGAAACCGGGACATTTAGCAGGCGATGACTTTTAGTTTATAACAGATAACTATTTGGCTAATTTTCAGTCGCAATTAGAGATAATTAAAGATATGTTTTTATCCGCTCGTGTGACTGTATTACCGAGGAATCTCGCGTCCAGATCACAACGGTTGAAGAGAAAACGGGACGCTTTCGTGTGGAGTATGCTCGTTAGCTCTTCACTAAACTCGCCTAACAAGTGTATAGGGGAGGAAATTAACCCTTTACGTGATGCGCTGTTTTTTTTCTTTGCACAATGCACTAGTAGAAAATGAGCAACTATTATAGACTTAATTACTTTTTATTATAAAGGCATTAACTGATAATAAGTGTATCGTACAAATTTTTATAGAAAAATTTCGCGAAAAAATGAATCCTGATTTAATGCGTTTATTATATGCTTAAAAACCATCTGACGATGTATCGAATATAACTTATAACGGATGTTGGTTGGTGTTTGTTATACGAACACCTACGCCGGAAGTCACGATCGAACATAAAGGTATTTTTTTTTAATTCTAATATTCCATTCATTCACCCTCGCACCCGCTATCATTTTATGTGAATCATCTTCATACCACAGAAAACATGAATGAAATTGTAAAAAAAATCGCGCCGATTTAATTTGAAGAAAATTCTCAGTTTGTTTATTGTCGAACAGTTATTTACGGGATGCTAATTCAATATTCTGAATGACTTTTTTGAAAACTCCTAACTATCAATTACACTCAGATCTATTAAATAATTGCACACTTGTTAATTCAAACCAATTATTACTTTGTAAATACACGGTTGCCAATGCGGATTCGCAATAGTATCCTTCCAAGGGCTTTTACACCACGATTTATTGCGAGAAAAACTAAGAAAACCTGTAATTTGTTTAAATCTAAACAAACACAAAGAAAATTAACCGACAACAATACCAGTACCACTATACCAACCAATACCAACCATCAACCAATACCAACACTCTCAAATAAGAATATCAATCTTAAACATATACCAAAACAAAAATTCACAATTACCGTTTAAAATTAGATCAAATCGGCAACGCCGAAAACACCTATTAGAAAGATAACTAGGTATGGAACTTAAAAATAAGGGGTTACTGACCTGAAAATCTTGCTAGGAAACGATGGAAACCGGTGGCGAGGGCTTGCGCCAGACACCGAAATACCAGGGGGAGGGGGGAGCGCCACCTCCACCCCTGCGAAGACCACATCACGTGCGCCACTGAAACAGAAAAAAAATCAAATTATTCCCAGGCTCATTAAAAAGTGTAACACGTCAAGGCAATAATGACGAGCGAGAGGATAGAAGTCGTTTTATAAGAGAAAAAAAAAGCTTTTAGATTAGAGTATGTATTCTCTAAGTAACGGCGTGTGTTTAAGACGGTACGTTACACATGTTGAACAAATCAATTTAATCGCAAACAGTTTAAATTAACTGTAGCTTCCACAAGTAATTATAAAGTAAAACCACGATATATAATTTTTTTATAACCAATTAGGTAGGTGTAGTTGCATTTACTCCTTAGGAATTTATAAGCCAGACAGTTCTTTTAATAAGGTAAGGCGCTTGGCAAGACTCCAGTTCATAACAATATTGATTAAGAAAAATCGTTAAAAAAATAACGAATAAGAGCATCCTGTACCCTATGCACATTCCATCTATCTCCTATTATAACATCTAAATAAGAAGCTTATTTTCAATACGCGTTCTGTACTGGCATCGAGCTTAAAATAGCGACGCGCATTGAAGAAATTGTTACACTAACCATATCACTTTAAAGGCGCTCGATGTGTTGAACGCCGCTTAAGAGACCACTCTCGATAAAGAAGTTAATCAACAAATTGAATCAAATCACCGAGAAATTGCCAATTACCAGTTATCATCATCGCGGAATGTGTGTCATATAAGGTTTAATTAAAACGAGTTCCAAGTATTAGTACTTGTACGTACAGTCGTTTAATACGGAGTATCCGAACTCTGCCACAAAATGCAGGTAGTCATTATAGGTTGTTCGAACTCTGCCAGGTTTTAAAATTTTAGGGATTAAGTACTAAACCCGTAGGGGTCTAATTGTTTAATCCGATTTAACAACTTCATAATATATTTTCAACGTATATTTGCCACAAAAAATACATGTACGTTTTAATAAAATATATACGTTTAAATATACAGATAAAAATAAAATAAAATTACATCTGAGGAAGATTTTTACATGTCACCGTTTTCACAAATATAAAGCGAGAAATAGTATTTTTCTTATATTTTTCCGTATGATTGAATAAAATTAATTTTTGTATCAATATGTTTTTTGTTTTTTTCCGATTTTGGTTCGCCGAACGAATTTTCGCGTATATATCCGTTTGAAAATCCAAAAACACACTAATAAATTAGACAATATTTGGGTATGCTTTATAAAAAGAGTTATTAAAATGGGAATGAAAACTCTCACAAGAATTAGTTGTCCTCTTAAAAAAGTATGCATTGTTTGCCCAAATATGTGGTGGAAATATCGAATTTAGTTTTTTATACGTTTTATTGACCTAATTGCGAAATTATATAACTCTCTCATCGTTTGGAAACAAAAAATGTAGTTCGTTATTAAAAAATTTAACAACTTCCTCAGGTCTAAGATACGTCATTCCAAAATGTACTTTTAAGTAGTCGCCAATTACACAATCTTTCTGTATGTACTCTTGTACCCAATGAAACTACAGAATCTATTGAAACCAAGCTTAACAGAGATGAAATTTACAACCAAAAATAATTTGATCTCTACCAAAACAGTCATATACATAAAGCGTTATGAATCCTTAGTTCTAAATCTACTACGACTTCTTTGGGTTGAAATTTTAAGTTTTATTTAGGTAATATTATAATAAACCCTAATGACCCTAATAGGATTAAACTTAATGGTCGTGGCAGAGTTCGAACCATTCAGTAATCCCCAAATTGATACAATTCAGGTAACATTTTATTTTGTGGCAGAGTTCGGATATGCCCGTTTAATATACCTACTTAAAAAAATCACAATATTATGAAATGTGGGCAATACGAGTGTACCTACATAACTTTCATTAGTAGATACATATTTCAATTCCAAACCCAAATGAGGGCTTTAAAAATTGTATAATATACGCAATTCTTACTATACTACATTACACCTAAATTACGGTTTACCATAATCAGTTATCAACTCATTGTAGTGTGGGTATTGTAATATATCACGTTCACAACAGTAGATTATAAATTCAGTCACAAGTATAACTTACTGATTTAATATCTGGTTATTTAGAATTATTCGTAATAAATTAAAAGCATACAAAGCGTTAACAAATTACGATAATGGATTCGACAAGGGCGACCGTAGGAGTCGGCGCGAGCGAAAAAATGGCAATTAACAAACCCCCGAAAATCCATAATCGTTTCGGAATATTGTTTTATTCAAAAAACTTGTAGATCTCGTTAAGGTAACGCGCTGCTAGTGTCTAGTAATTAAATGACATCACTGACTTAGATGAAACAGAGAATGGTTCCGTCAAGTGCCAATAAAAATAAAAAAAAACATGTAGAAGTGCTATTTTGCCAAAAAAGATCGAGGTCGATGACATTCGAATTATTTACAACATATTCAAACCTGAAAAAGTTAAATATTTTCAACAATATACCTACTATGAATGGGATGGTGTTATCCAATACCGGGCCATGCCACTGGTAATAAGTTGTCTGAAGAAAATGACAACATAGTTTATTACAATAATAATTAAATATTTTGGAATTTTTGAAGAACAGATAAATTACGGAATTAGGTACCTAATGAACTCAGTATTTAAAAAAAATATTTAGATACTTTTACCTCATTCATGTAAGTTTGTAGATTGAGACTTTATAAAGCCATCTCTGTAATTTAATAAAAAAATATATTTTAATCATATTAACCATTGGTGGTTCATATACGAGAAAAGACCTTCAAATAAAATTCTAACTCTTTTGTCTTTAAAAACAAATAATAATTGTAATTAAGTAACGTCATTTACGAATTTCACCTTATATAATTATCTATTATTTTTATGAAATAATAAAAAAAGTAACTTTACGCCCGATTGTAAAGTGAGGCAACAGATTAACCACTGATGGTTCACCACGATGCAGTCTCTTTTTTTAACACAAAACGTACACATGCATATTTATTCCTTTTAATAGGCGAGTGTTGTGTGGACAAACGGCTTCATAATAATAATTACGATCGCTAATATTACGTTCTGCGGTGAATTAAATCACCGTTTTGATTACCATTGAACTGTAAGCTTTCCCACAGCCTTGACGGTACCAACCGGGTACTGAAAATGTACCCGACGAGTCGCACAATATCGACGACTGTACCGGCGGTGTCGGAACCTTCAGCAGCTCTCTGTTTTCACCAACAATGGAACAGTCGCGTAAGGAACAGGTCATTTGTCATAATTAATTAGATCTGTGTCGATAAGTAAGAGTCGTTCGGGCTCCCATCATTAGCTCACCAGCAAATCCTTTTGTTATCGTTTCGATTTTTTGAACCAAAAGTCCAACATTATAATCAAATTTTATGTTAGCTTTACTATTGCTCAATGCTGCAGAATTAACACTTCCAGCACCAGCAGATATCTATTGCATCAGTTTTAATTATAAATTGTAGATTCAAATAATCGAATACCTACAATTTGATTAGCATTAAGTCACGCCTATAATAAGAGTAAGGAAAATATTTATTTGATATAAACTTCGACCTACTATTTAATCACCGGCGGCTTCAAGACAAATCTAAAAACGTACTTTTTGTTTTACAAGAAATTTCTTTTAGAAGCTTTCACTGTGACGGGGAAATGTGTAAGACATGGTACTTTTTTGTAACCCATATAAAATGCACATCGCCATTAGCCAAACAAACCTCTAGAGGTGTATTGTACAAGAAGTTTTCTAATTCAAATGAATTTTCAATAAATTGATTTATGTATAATTTAATGTTATTTTAGTGTAAATAAGAAATATGTTTTTAGTTTCTCACTGGTAAACCACAAACCGGTAAATCTAAATAATAAGTATTAAATAAATCACTCCTTCTGGCACTAAATAACAATATTCATGGAGGTGCAAATTATCCATCAATTTAAACAGAAAATACCTCGGTAAAATGTTTATTGTTCATGGATATTATTTATAGGCGTCCTTGATATTTATATTGAATGTTCTAACACCATTTATCCAATACAATATTAATAAAAAGAGATTTATATTTTATTGCTTTGCTGGGAAAGTTAATGCACTTTCCATTACACGGAAATAATGCGATGCTACGGTTTTCTTAAGAGGTTCATCTTGATTTTTCTACTTTCTGACATATTATTAGTATTTCTGACGTTAAAGAGTTTTGTGTACATATATCTGAAGAATATCACCAAAAGAGTCAAGAGTCTGTTAAATGAAAAACATTTAATTTACTATTTCAATGTTCTTAGTATTAAACCGACAAAAATTATAATTAGAACAAAATAATGTCGTTTATTGATTGGTTAATTTAATTAATTAAATGGCTTTAGAAACACAGTCGATATAACTACAGACAATTCTATTATAACAAAGCACTTGCAGGTTACTGAATTAATTATTCAATTAATTATACGTTATTATGTCGTATCTTGAAATGAAATTAAATCGACTATTCGACTTTTGCTTAACGATCTTTTAAAATACGTCAGTCTCAGGCAATGCTAAATAATAAAAAGTCTGAAAATGTAAGTAGGTACCTACTAATTGCATGACATAAAATTTTAAACTACTAATTAAATTGTTAATTGATTAACTAAATTATTAAAATAGTTAACAATACGATGTGGGTATAGGAAAATATATTAATAACGATATAGGAAAAAACCTATATGCACTTATTTCTCAAAATTAAATTACTCAATATAAGAAGGCTAAATTCCACAAATACTTTGGTAGTTTTTACTTTTGTAATTATCTTAATAATATGCAATTATACCTAGGTAAATTTTTGTAGGTTCGAAGTAAAAAATGGCTACCTCTTTCAAAGTCACCTACTTAAAATGTTTGTTTTCCTCTAACGTTTACGTACATAGGTGTATAATATTCAATATTCAGTTCCTGCAAATATTGGTTTAGTAAATTAGTAAGCTAATAATTTTGTAACGTAAATTATATTTGACCTGAGAATTATAACTTTTCTTTAAATGGACAAAATACATAAAAACAAGTTAACAGACTAGAATTATTATCATCTATATTACTTTTTTAGATATGTGTAATTTTCATGTTTGAATTTGATTGCAATGAAGACGTTTGCGTTAGTTAACAAATTAATAAAATATACCGACAAAATTGAATCAGGTTCAATACTTGTTGTGGGATAAATAACCTCGTGTTACTTTAACTGTTTGTATCGTTTTGATATTATCGTTCACGGTTAATTAAAAATTAAAAGAAAACAAACTTTCTATGCGGAACTTTAATAAAATAAATAATCAGACGTTAAAAAAAATAACCAGATGATTAGTAAGTTACTAATAAAAATTCGGCTTTTGTTTAAATAAATTGAATCGTGCGTTTTGATAGGACATTGACAAGGATATCGACACGTTTCGCAATATTGAATCACCGTCTGAAAAAAAAATACCGAAAATTGTTGCCCTACTCTTATAAAGAGAAACTTATAATTTTCTGAAAATAATAAATATGATTAATTAATTAAAAAATGAATAGGAATTTAATATTTGGACTTTTAAATAAAATAATAGATAGCCTATTACCCATTTTTTTAATTTTTTTAAGTTCTTCTTTGAATGAGTGAATAAATTTAATAAAAAAAATCAATTTAACTAATGGAGTCAGTACTACGATATCAAATGTTTTTTTGCAATAAAAAACATAAAAATTTAAAAATTATTTTTTCTTGCACCATAGATAATTTAAAATAACACAATATTTCGACCGTTCTAATTTCTGAAAATTAATTCAATTTTATATGTCTGCAAGAATATTAATTTATTTACCAACATTTTTTTAAGTAGATAAAAAACTGTGAAATTAAATAAATGCGAATCGAACGAAATTTATTCTAAATTTCACTCATTTTCACGAAATTAAACAAATTAAGAACATTCATTTTATAAACAATAAAAGGGAATGTCAAATGCAGATATAGAATACAGTTCGTAGTATTAAAATTAATGCCTTAACAAAATACAAGTCTGTTAAGGCACTGAAAACAAACTACATATTTGAAACACCCACGAATATACGGAATATACATACATTGAAGAGTCTTCAGAAACATGAAGGTGGTCCGATGTTCACATTAAATAAAAATTCCATAGCACCACGTCTGTTTGTGAAACTCATTACACAAAAGAAACATCCAAACTCTATTCGAGTTACATGTCACAGAAGCAGATCAGATGCGAAAAATAAACGTTATCGACGATTTACGGATGAAGATATTAAAAAAAAAAACTATCACAACACTTTTTGACTTACGGGCCTCCGTAACTTTCGTACTAATAAAAAATATACCGAACACCCGACCGATTCGAATCGTTCATACAGTGTAGTCAAGAAAGTAAAACGAGCCGATCGTCTATTTATAATTATCGCAATTTCTCTTGTCAGTTCGAATTTGCGAAGGATCCGTTTTGTGTGAAGAGAACGTTTTCTCAAGCGGAGCCCCCAGCGAATACGCACACCAAACGTTCACCAACCGTGAGCACGGACTGACGGTCGAGAGAAACGGCATGCCATGACCGAAAAGCCGAAGTCATACGACCGCTGTTGCCGATATTCCGCTCTATGTCAGGATTCTACCAGCCGCTTCGGAGTCCTGCGGACAGGACCAACCGACGCGGTGTCATCACTGATCGCTCATCGTCGTTTTGTCACCAAACGACCAACAATTATCCAATTGAATTATTTCGTTTTTAAGTAGTTAACTAATATTTTTTTCTTGTACGTAGGTATACTTCCTGTTTGAAGAATACCTTAATAATCCACTCAAAAATATCATTGCATTAGAAAAGATATAGAGTTGCCGCAACTGAATATTTTCCCCAGATCTTCCGATTCTGAAAAGCACTTTCTTCCTTCTCACCTGGTATGCACAAGCGGCGGACCCTTTTAATAACGCCGGGCCGCAGTCCAAGTTCAAGGTGTTATCGCCACATAAAGAGTGCGCGAATGGCTAGAGAGGGGTCTGGTGTGCACGGTGTGTTTCGGATGATATGGAAAATTAAAATAATTTATTGTTAAGAGAACCACTGTCGAATTACCATTAATGATAGGAGACTTGAAGTTTAGCTAGGTCCGAAAATTAGGTACGAATACCAGGAATTTATTTTGAACTGTTATCGGCGTACGAATTCTACGAATCGATTTAAATTCCGAGAAAAAGCGTGTAAAATATTGACTTGTTAGAATTAGAATTGTATTGATAAATAAAAATATTCAGGGAATTAAGGGTTTAGTTAAGAAATTCCGAGGAAATGCTTTACATTAATTTGGCAATGCCGCAGATGATCCGATTGGGGCCTCCGTCTCTCTTTAAAAGCAAATGCAATTAATTGTCTCTTCCTTCACCTGGGGGTGAAGTCTCGACATGAGTTTATTTTAATACGCAGGTTTATTTTCTTTTAAAAAAGTTACATACTAATTTAATACGTAATTTAATTCACAATTACAGTTTTGTTTTCAACTCTTATTGTAATAAAATTTCCTTATCGCTTAAACTTTATATGAAGTTTGTTTTCAAGCAAAAATTTCTAACGTTTATTCCTCGCATAACTTACACTTTTTCGAACCAGATTACAGTAGAATGATTCGAATTAAACAAACTTAAAGCCATCGATAGTTCCGTATTTAAAACAGGTTGTTAAACACTCGGTAATTCGTCTTCCACCAAACAGCCGGCGGGCACTTAAATAAGGGTAAAACTGATTAACGTCGAACGATGGCGGTTCGGTTTCGATGATAATTACAAAAAGTAAAGCGAGTGCTTCCATCCTAATTTCAAATGATTATAGTTAACTTTTTTTCGGTACGAAATTTGCATAAAAAGGTCGTGTTTTTCGGCTGGAATGAAAATATGCAGGCGCTTCTAGTTTTGCGAGAAATTGAACAGTTTATAAAAACGAAATCGATAGTGCTTTAAAAAAATGTTCATGAATTAACTCCCTATGAAGTTTTTCCTCGAACTTTTCTACAACACTCTGTATATACCTACTTATTTTCGTTAAATTAGTAGATACTTTACCGTATATTTTTCGGAAAACAAAAAAAAAGAGGTACTTTTGACACGGCTATTAAATTGTTGGTCATTGTCTGTGTGGGAAACAGTCGCATTTTAGTCAATTGATGCACTTCAATTACTCGGAGTTAATTGACTTTACTTTTTAATTATCCAGTCGCTATCAATTATTTTGCTAGTCTACAGTTAATTGGAAGATAATTTGTGAATTTTTTATGCAACAACCCTATCACGTTCCGAATCGAACGGCGTACGTTTTTACATTGTCTATGAAATAATTATGATCTTCGATCAGCGATTAAAGCACTTGTAATGAAAAGTAGGTATACGAGGGAGTGCATGAAATTTATCGTTAATCCACTCGCTTTATAGAAGTTAATAAGTTTTTTATAGATTCAGAAATGTCATTGTGCCATTACGAGGAAAAATACTTTCTCGGATAAGACGGAGGAATTTGGTTATTTGAAAAGAGAACTGGCAATTTATCATTCTCAAGAACCATTCATTTATGAAACTATAAGCAATACGATTTTTTTTGTGGCTCGGATGTGCCATCTACTAATGCTCCCAGTTGATTCCCGATCACGTACTAAACTACCCTTATCCGAAAAGTACGGCTAGCACACCACCGAAAATGAGTATTGTATCAATCGACCAGGTGAGAATAAATGTCGCTGGTAACATTGTCATGACCACCGTCGTGGAATTCGATACCTGCGGAATTTTTCTCGAAATTTCAACCTACAAGAGTTATTTTTTCTCTCCGACTCTCACGTTCTTTAGGCGAATTATGCCGCTCAAAAATTCGTCTAAACTTTACTTCCTTGATGCAAGTGACTCATCAGCGATTTGTTCGCAATTTGCAAACAGCCCAAAACAACAGGAACCACTTTTCATTGAATCATCCTTGCAATTATACAATAGAAAAGTATTATAATAGTCTTTAGAACGTGACTAGTATTTCGCTCAAATTGTTCTGTATGTAATCGGTCGTATCCTGCGTGGATTATGTTTTGATAAGAGGCTCATTATCATATTAAGAATGGCGTCAAAAATGCTCGGGCGCCACTACGCACATTTGTAATTGAACAATTGCTTTATGAAATAATACAGAGTAATTTTCATCTACATAACATGCTAATATTATTAATATTTCATTGGATTATTGCAGGATGCAATTTTACTGAAAATGCAGCGCATTTTTCCAAGATGCAAATGACGAATTTAGTAAAAAATTCCGTAAATGATTGGTAATAACGAACAATAGTCTAAAAATAAACTGTCGAGTAATTGCAGAGAAACGCATTTACGTCGACAAAGTAAAAACATAATCTCACTTTTTTATGATTACACTCATAGCACTCATAATCTCTACATCAACAATGTAATTTTTCTAAAAACGGATTAATTGTAGCTAAAATTGTGCACTAAAGTGCAATTAGGTTAAACGCGAATTATGCACTCAACATGTAATTGCAATATTACTTGCAAAAGATTATATTTATACGAGCTTTTCCCATGACAATAAAACGATAGGTATAATTTGAAAATAATGCATTCGGTGCCTCAAATGAAAAATAAAAAGTGGAGTTTTCTGTAAATGTGAGTATCCCTAAACTATTCCCCAAAAATTACTCATTGAAATAACCAATTCCCATGAATATACAAAGAAGATTCAAAATCGCAACCTAACACCTTCACAATATCCTTAACCGACGTTGATCTGTTTATTTAAGCAAAATTTTAAAAGGATTTTAAACACCTTTTCTTAATTCAATGCAACAACACTATCTGTGAAGGTAAGTACTTACTACATATTTTTGAAAAGACAGGACCTGCCTAAGGAGAACTTCAAGAAAAAAAAACTTCAATAAGTAAATTCTATTTACAATTACGTACTTGTAAGGTAGAATACTTTTATTATTAAAATAAAATATAGATGAAAGTAGTAGTTAAGCAAAAGTTAAAGATGGTTAAAACCGGGTGTTAACTATTTATACGGGTCAATAATTATGGAATTAAGAAAGATTTCGGAAGTACAGGTAGTATTTTGAGTCGGATCCTTCTCTGAATCCGAAATTTTTTCTACTTGGTCGGCGAAAGTATAGAAAGAAAACGGAATCGCCGGGTGACAAGGTACGTGAATTGCGATAAACACTACAAATATTTCAACAATGTACCTTTACTGGAAGTAAACTAGAAAATATTTACTTTTGTCATAGATAGTAATTGACAGATCGTTTCGTTCTCATTCAAGGTAAACTCACTGCCCCATTTGACGATTTTTGTACAGCCGCAAAGCCGTAAAGACGTTCAATTGAATTATATGGTTAGAGTACTTAAAATTCGCTAATGCCGGCATTTAATTCTACAAGGTGGTCTTATTTTTCGAGGAAATTCCTGAATATTTATGTGATCTAAATTTTTGTAACTAAATTAATTTAATGAGCCAATTTACATACCAAGCTTTTTAACATAATAATACACTTTTGAAAAACTTTAAATAGGTATATTGCAAATTTTAGTTTTTAAACACTATATTAATATTTTATGCGGATAAAGTAAAGATTTATTTTTCTACAATTAAAACAATGTATCTCTCACAATTAAGAGAATATAATAAAGCAAATTTCTTATACATCCAGAACTATTTTATCATTCTATTAAAAACGTACTTTTGTAAGCTTTGGAAGATTAGCAAATATTTCCATTTTAAACTACATAGAAATCACGTTCTCAGTGGTATAAATCTAGTATAATTCTTATTTAACGAATGAGAATGCATTTACAATGGAGTATTATTTCAATTAAAGAGGAATTGAATAAAAATTAATGCTCAATCCTTCTATCTGTTTAATCGAAAAAGTGAATCCATGCAGGGACGGACGTGTGCAATAATGGATTACAATTTTTAACAAGTACATCGTAAATTCTTTCCGGCTATAAATTAATAATAAATTTTGATGCCAATAAATTATTTGTAAACGAATAAATAACAAAATCCTTCTGATTCAATTTTTATATTATAGTCATGATAGGTATGCTTTTGTCTGCACATACTCATGCTCGGTCTCGAACAGCATCACAAAAGTTTAAGGAATAATAAACTGATGTTAGTCGCGGTCTAGCTATTTCTTTTATTTGTAAATTATTTAAAACCAATATATTAATCATTTAGGAGGCGATCCTTAAAAAATCCACTGTATTAACAATTAATTAATTATTTAACAATACCATAGTGATGCATTTTTTTATATAGAATTCAATTTAGGGATTACTTATTTCAGAGGGTAAAGCAAGGTATTCCTTATAGATGGCATATGTGTATCGTGATATTTTGGCAAACTGAAAGCGCAATGAAGTGAAAAACACCTCATGATCATAAGGTGAGCGCGTAATTTTATCGCTCTTACATTACATGCATTCAGAACAGTGGTGTAGTGAATTATTATTTGCAAAATGTATG